GAGAGAGAGAGAGAGAGAGAGAGAGAGAGAGAGAGAGAGAGAGAGAGAGAGAGAGAGAGAGAGAGAGAGAGAGCGGACAGTCAAACCTTTCCCTGGGCCATCCCCACAGAAGCAATCAATGTTGTTTCCGCCTTCTTGTCGGCGGCGTGATGTGATGACGGGGATGGATGGTTCTGTTATTGTTTAGGTGCCGCAACGGTGAATCCATCCCTGTCCTTGTTCGTGTTAAGATTGTCATTCGTTTTTTTTAGTGCTTCGTGAATGAAACTTTGCTTTCTGGCCATTTTGTCGTTTTGCTTTCAGTGAGTCTTCATTCAGTTTCTTGAGTGCTTCGTGAATGACACTTTGCTTTCCGTCCATGTCGTCGTTTTGGTTTTTGTTTTATTTTCGTCGCTTTGCTTTCAGTAAGTCGTGCATGATATTTATCGCTTTCGTTTGCAATGGTCTGAACGCGATTATTGAATACCGATTAAACGATGACACGATAACTGACATATAATACGTTTCATATGAAAGCTCACTCGAAGTCATCATCACATTCAGTGCTCGAATTGGAATGCACAAATTTCAAACACATGTCATCAAATCACACGCACCCCAACTTCCTTCAAACATCACCCTCCCATGCTGGCGAAAATCGAACAATCGCAAAGAGAAAAACAACCATCATTAGTAAAAAAACAACAGAGGCGAGAAGAAGAAAATAAGATCGAGTTCACCTAAACTGAAAATACAAGTCGACTCTCATCAATAGGAACACGAAAACAAATGACACTAAACTAACCCCCCCTTACCCAGCCCCGACCCCCCCTACTCAGCCCCAAATCTCCACGGCGAAGCCCGAACCTTTGCACTGCACTAACCGCTGTGACCGTGAATGGGGGCAGACCGAAATCCCCCACCCACAAAACACCCGCAAAGCTCCACCATTCAGCAATCCCCATCTACGGGATGCAAACCAACTATCGCATTTGCATGCGCAGAGCATCACTCAGAGCGAGGGCAGCCTCCGTCGCGTCGACTTGGGAGACTGGCTGGGACAAATCTTGCAAGCCAAGGTCTATGGGGACAGTGTTCCCCTCTCGGTCGCGGTCAAGCAACAGACGCTCGTCGAACGGGACCCCGGCCTCCAACAACAGATTGTGGATGATACACACTGCAGTGAATTGCTGCGGGAGGTTATTCATATTCGTCTTGTGATGACGAAGGAATAACCTCCACATCCCCTTAAGCCGCCCGAATGTTCTTTCCACTACCCCTCTCGTTGTCTTCTGCCGCGTGTCGAAAAGAGCGATGTCCCCCGTCTGCTCCGACCCTCCGTATGGAACCACAATCCAAGTGCGGGGTGCGTAACCATTGTCCCCCAGCAGGTATCCTGTCGTCCTTACCCCCCCCGGGAGGATGATGGGGTCCTCCATGAAGATGTCGCCCGCCTCTGCTCGCCTAATTAGTGAAGAATTCCGCAGCACGCGGGCATCGTGGACACATCCTGGATAACCGACGAACACGTCGATGACACGCATGTCAAGGTCGACGACAACCTGCGCCACGACTGAAAACTGCTGCTTACGATCGAAGTAGTTTTCGGACGGCGCGTTTGCAGGCTTGTCAACGTAAATATGGGTGCAGTCGATTGCGCCCAAGCAATTAGGGAAACCTTTGCCGCCGAATGCTCGGACGACCTGTAGGAGACGATGGCCGGTAGGAAACGCTATCTTCTCTGGATACGCAGCCAGTATAGCTTTTGTCACATGATCCACAACCTTGATGCCTGATGACCTCCCGATGCCGAACGACGAAGTGCTACTCTCGAAAGTCTCTCCTGATGCCCACCGGTACAACGCGTAAGCCACGATATGGTCGGGCTGCAATGGCTCCCGATAGTGAGTCAGTCTGCGCTGAATGAAAGGACTGCAAGCGGCGGCGATGTCGTTGAACACCGTCCTCGTCATCCGCAGTTTGTCATGGAAGTAGTCCTCGCTCGCATCGTCGGCGATGGTGAGGTCCCTCCAAGTTCCACCCGTCCTTCTTTTCACCCACCACCTCGGCGTCTCCCTCGGCATGACACCCGCCGCGATTGCATTCGACAACAAGAACGGCGCATCCCACAGGCTTGGCGAGGAGTGCACGTCCATCAAAGCCTGGGCTATGGCGGCCTCCCGTCTGCCCCTCTGTCTTCCGCTTGCCCGCCGCACGTCAGTCACCGTCTGCATGTGACGTGCAACTGCGAGCAACGCCGTCCCTAGTAGCGACCTCTCCCTTGGCGTCAGCCTCCTCGCCCCAGGTGCATCACCAATGCCGTCTTCCATAGCGCCCACCAAACTGGAACTTTGCGCGCAGCTCACGCGCCGGCTCGCCGGCTATGGCGATCTTCTTCCTAACGCGTCAGCAACCACGGATATTTCCTGCACTCGGCGTCGGCGTGCGCAGGCAGCGGAATTCAAATTCAAAATTTTGCCACCGCGCGCACTTTCTTATCGCGGGACGCCGCCGTCGTGCCCCCGGTAGGCTGGGCGCGGGCCCGGAAATTGGATGTCCCACGGGCCCGCAGCGGGTGGACAACTTCTTGTCCGTCGTACTGCCTTCGCGGACATCCGTGCCCGACAACCAGACCTTCTGACACCGGCCACCCCTCACCTGAGATGCAAGGGCGGGTAAGTGGGGTAAGTGTAGGGCGCTGTGGAACGAAAATCGTTGTTAGGGTAGTTTAATCACCTTTCGCCGGTAAGGGTGCCCTTACAATGTAAGGATTGTTAAGTGGTATGGAACTGTGCCCTGATCCTCACATTTCATTCCGTCCTTTCTTTCTTTTTCTTTTCTTTTCTTTTCTTTTTTTTTTTTTTTTTTTTTTTTTTTTTT